CATCGAGCTCAAAGTTCTTCACACGATCCGTTACAGCAGCAGCAACTGTGACAAATCTGCTCACTGAACACATATGAAAAACTAGAGACCTTCATTTGTAGGAAAAATCAGCGAGGCTGTCCACGTTAAAAATCGAACATATTTTTCGGCTGTCATGGCAGGAAGGTAAACTAATTTTGTAGACATTCGTTAGGCAATTAAATTTGTAAACTGAAGTGAAATGGGTGTGATTCTACAAGGGTATCCTTTAAAAACACATTTCAGTCGGATCCTTTTTCATAGCCGCACCTGCATTTGACGAGCCCCAGCCGCCTGCCATAGGGGACCGGTGGTAATAGGAAGTTTAACACTAACCCCTAACTCCTAAACCTTACCCCCAAACCTGACCCCTAACCCATGAGCTATAACTCTAATCCCATACCCCAACCTCTAACCCTAACCCTTGACACTAACCTCTAACCCAACCCCTACCACTAACCCCTCACCCCTGACAGGCACAACTACGGAATAAGACCTTTATCTAAATCCGGTGAAACTGCAGTTGAATTTGTCAAAAAGAATCTTAATCGCATAGATGAGATTTTTCAGCCGCGTTCTTCCTCACAGAGTGGTTGCTTTGAAGTCTGTTGCCCTGAACTAGGTGTTGCGGCCTAAATCGAAAAGGGCGTGGTGTGTGCAGCTAGAAGACGTATTGGGGACAGTCGGTTAAAGCATAGAGGTTGCCTTTGCAGCCACGGTATTTCGTCTTTGTTCCTCGAAAGGAGTGTGAGTTGGACTCTTCAGATTCTCTGTCCTTTGTCGCAGAGCACAATTATGGATTGCTCACGATCTTTTTCCAGAGGGCCTTAGTCGTATAAAGAGTAATCAGCATAATTAAGTGCAAGATGTGGTTATGTAGCCGTACCTGATGCACACAGTACTGTTAGGGGTTAGGGCAACTATTTTTCAACCACTCAAAGTTTAGCCGCGCATTCTCAGTAGCTTTTTTGCATACAATTACTTGACCTCGTCGCCTTTGCGTTCCCCGGCCCCACCTGTAAAAACCCCTTTTACCACCGGTCCCGTATTACAGGTGGTTTGGGTTTGTTTACCTCAGGTGCGGCTAAATAACCATATTTGACCCAATTAAGGTTGCTTAAGGATGATATCAGAAAGCGAATGAAGAAGACGAGCAGAAGTCTACAAAGGAGCCGAAACCCCTCGAATTCGTGGCATTTAGGAGTGAGAAGCCTTCAACGCGCAGGTCTAACCCGTTAGCTTGTGCCTGTTCTAGTAGTATGGTAGATCAGTATTTTAGGTTTATCAAACTATTTATGTAATAATATTTAGCCGAAAACTTGCTGCATTCTGTTTTTTAGCCTTTCGAAGCATAACTAACTGATAAAATAAAGCGAGCAGATAACGCATCGATCAATAATAAATACTTTATCTAAAATATCAAGTCTCTCGGGTGCAGAATGATCGCCTCTTATATATCCCTTTCTCGAACCCTAAACTTTTAAATCCTAAAGGATCCCCGTGTACCGGCATTGTTATTATAAGTTTGGCCATATAAATAGACCTTATAGAAATGGTACAACAAAAGTGAATAATTTAGCTCTGTGTTATTTCGACGATTTTATCACGGAACTCATCAATGGTTGACCGTGGCGGTACTAAATAAAGCGTCATCTGTGTGTAAAATGGTCCTTGAACCGAAATTTGCAACGGTTACAAAGATGTGGATCTCAATCCGGGAAGCGCACAATTTACCACCACAATCTTTTTACTTTTTTCTTCTAATACAGGAAAACAGAGAAGTGCACAGAGTGCCAAGAATGAAACAGTGACTTTCTTACAAGACTTGAGTAGCTCCCTCCTCACCGGGGAAGAACTACAGCAAAACCCGTCCAAATATTCTAGTATTATGAGCTTCCTGATGAGTCTTCATCTGCCGACGAGTGGTAATTCTACGTCGACAACAAAGTGAATTGTCTGAGAGGAAAGTTGAGCGATTTCCAACAACACAAAAACCTCCGACAGTGTCTCGTGCGCTTGAAGTACGTCCTAAATTACTAAACCGTTTTTCTCAGAAGAAGAAGAAGAAGAAGAAGAAGAAGAAGAAGAAGAAGAAGGAGAAGAAGAAGAAGAAGAAGAAGAAGAAGAAGAAGAAGAAGAAGAAGAAGAAGCAGACACTACTCTAACCGATTGACTGTCCATCCTGCGGACTTTAGTGGGCTTTGGATCACAACAACTAAGTCTTCAGACAGAGTTATCTTCTGTTGAAGCAGCAATCTCGATGACACATTATCCGTGACTAACAACCCCCAGGACACCTGAACCAGTAGACGTGGACTAGTTGTTTAATCAATTGACTTCTCCCTGACGCGGTTATAACAAAGTCAAGTAAAGAACCACTTTCTACTAATTAAGACAAACTGTTCAGGCAACTTTCAGCTAGAACTGACCGTGAAAGAAAGCATTTACGTAGACTGCTACCAAATTGAATTCTCTCATGTCGTACACCGGCAAGTTAGGCTTTGTTGCATGATTTGCGATACTGCAATGTTGATATCAGCTAAAAGCCCATACACGGGTGTTCAGCCTATATTCCGCCGCTGCATGACGCAATTGTGAGGGTGTCGGCTCATTAGTGGTTTCCTCAGCGTTCCCCGTGTGTTTCTTGGTAGATACTCAGTAATCATACAACAGGTGTATACTACTGGCCACATGTTGACCCTTTATGATTCGGTTATCTCACTGACGCTGATGGATTTCGATTCAAATATTGGCAAGGATAGGGTATGTGACTCTCCTCCCCCCCCCCCCACGCACTGCGTGGTTGGTCAAAAGCCTACCTTCTTAGTTCGTTCGGTGTGCTTCATAACGCCTTGCCTGGCAGTAGACCGCAAAAGGATTTATGTAGGGAGCGGATTTCAACCTCCGATAGCGCTATGAACATTAAAGTTGCCCGTTTACGGGTTGGGCAACGGTTACAATTGGTGTTGGTCGGGTTTTTCTTGAGACTAGGGTTGGCTGTGGTTTGGATTTCGGAATGAGGCTAGGGATTACAATTTTAAGGAATTGGCCTAAGGTTGCGGTCGCATCCGAGTTTTCCATCAATGTCTACGGGTTAGAGATTTCCCATTAAAGGCATAGCCATGAATGGCGTTAGGTTTGTGGTTAACTACGATCTCCCCCAAGGGGGTTACATACCATACTCTTGCTTAAATATTCATATCAATATTCAGGCTGGGCCTAAAAAACCTCTTCCCGAAAGGGTGTAGCCAAAGTTGCACTTAGGAGATTAGAAGGCTAAAGTAGGAGCCTGGAATGATTGTGCTTCCGTCGTGTGTGCATTCTGAGTTCGTTAGTTGCAGCCAATCTGCACTAGACCGTGAGCCCAGATCTTCCTAGACTTAAAGTTCCAGCATTATCTTTGTCACTTGGCCATTGGGGCCTAAAATGCAATGCACCGGTCGCTTAGACAGCAAATGCCAACTTCTACTGGACTTCCAAGCAGACAACGACGTAATACGCGCAAGGCCACAACTGCTGCTACTCTTGAAGGTTATACGGACACTAGCAGCCCTCACTCGGGAGTGAGTGTTGTTATTGGTTAAGGCGATTCTTCTGGACATGCCAGGACGACCTTACATTTTCTCATGGTCACAGTGAAGGGTGAGAGATTTCGAGGCTAGCCAATCGGGCGTGAGAAATTCGCCCTGCGCACAAACCAGGGGAGATTTTGTTCGTCTCAGGCAAGCGACAAATACACTTCGTTTCTGCAAACCCGAGACAAACTGCGAAGTAATTAAACAAACACTTGCAGTGAACGTTATAAAAGTCACCAGACAAAATTGAGACGCTTTATTATATGATGTCTAAGTGCACCAGTGGATGCTCGAAGTAACTATTATTAGAAGGCTCCTAACGCGAAAAACTCAGTCGTGCATTCGCTTCAGACGACCAGCCCGACGCCGCTCGCTAAAAGTGCACCGAAAAGTCAAAATAACTCGCGACTGCTAGTACCCGAAAGTTCTAAGACGCTAATTTGGCAAGACTTTAGTTTTCTGGGCAGTAAAATATCCCCTCACTGGCCGAAGAGGCGTTGGATGCAAGCACCATTTGGCGAACACCCTGCAGGAAGTCATAGGCAGGAGATTACTGACAATGGCATGGAAGACTGCGGTGGCCATTTCCGGCTTATTAGCCTTCGTTAGCCGGTCTTTCCCAACCCCAGATTTGGTGCACTTGAGCGATAAACCCGCTTTCTCTCGGTTTTCGAGCGTTAATTAGCCTAAAACTCCACCAATCCAGCGACGGGCTAGTTTTCCTAATAGCTGTGATCAGGAATACTATGTTGGAAGTTTGTTCGATGATTCAGAACCTCCACTGCCTCGAGGGTTCAGTAGCGAATTGAGCGGGACAGCGAAGACTGGAATGACTAGTTCCGACTTATTATCCGCCGACAGCCAGTTATGCCTGGGTCCAGGCATTGATCCCGGACTTTAGACAGAATCCCAAGACGCAACGCGCCCCGTTATCTGATTGGTGAACGCCCTTCCACCGTAGTTAATATCACTGATCACAATCAGCAGGATAATAACCCCGAGGCTTAAATGGTAGGGCGTTAGGCCGGATGACCAAAGAGGGCTGCATCGGGGTTTAGGTGCTGTAAACATGGGTTTTGGTAAGGCTGACTGACGACGGCTAATAAGCCTGAAAAGGTCATTTCAGACTCTCTTCTCTTTGTCGGTAATCTCCTCCTGCCCATACTACCTACAATTCGGCCGTCGTTGCCGATTAGGCCCATCATTCGCTCTACAGCAGGGTGAGATCACAGATAGTGGATTGTGAGTGAAGTACCTTATTGGTAGCAGACTTGCACAGCATCTACCGCACTCTCCCCTCCTCCTCCCCCACCTGGGCCTGGTGTCACGACAAAGTTGAGAATGCCCGATGGCGGGAGAGGACTCAGGTGGCTGGCATGGCGTAAATCTGTACCTAGACGTGCCACCAGCCCCCTGGTCCACAACTTACACTGACCAGGATTTTCCACCAAGAAAAAGGAGGGCGGCTCAAATCCCAACTGCCGCACAGTGAACCGGCAAATGGGCCTCCCACCGCATCCCAATGTTGGCAACTGTTATGGGTGCGCATTCACAATAACACCTGCCGGATTCTGATATAGTCCCTGTATTGATCCAGTGCATCTACCGTTGGCTCGTTTTAGGGCTCAACCTTTACTACTAATCGCTGTGCGTCTGCCTGTGCGGCTCTTGATCGCGCCAAAAAAGCACGAGACGATCAGGTCCCGTAAACAGTTCGCCGAACGCCCTTCCAGCAGAGCAGAAAGTTATGCTTGAGAGTCGAATTCAGACGGCAAAGCACCTTTACCTAGCTCCGCTCCTGCGCAATGTCTAAGGCTGTCGTACCATATTTTTGGGTTTGAATTAGTCCGAGTAAACATCCGCCATAGGGGGATTGGATGTACCTTGTGCTTGAACCTACACTTGAAGCAACTGTTGTAAGCGCTGACCTAGGCGGCTCCAGAATCAATGTTTCCGCCCAGTTCCGCACATGCTCTACGCTCATTGGCTAAGGCTCTAACAATCTGCGACTGTCTCTGATGATGGGTTCGAGCGATGATCCAAAACGTCAGGCCAATAAATTTTCTGTTCCAATGATCGCATCTTCGTCTTCTGCTCTAACAACTGGTATCAAATTAGCGTTTTAACCCCTAAAACTTATAGCTGACAGTCACAAAATCCATTTCAGGTCTAAATAAAAAAAATCTGCCGCTCTATTTCAATTAATCCCAATAACGGAAGCTGTAATTCGAGTGGAGAGGAATCAGAGACAGTCACGTCAAGTGGAATAACCGTGTCACAGACCAGTTCACAATTTCACCTAAACTGGAGAGCGAAGACGATGGGATAAACCCCACCAGATGACAACCAATATTCAAAATAAAATGTCACTCTAGTCTTCGAATATTTATGTGCCTGATCGGAGAACAAACAGACGTGGTGGTGGTGGTGGTGGTGGTGGTGGTGGTGGTGGTGGTGGTGGTGGTGGTGGTGGTGGTGGTGGTGGTGGTGGTTGCGGCGGCGGCGGCGGCGGCGTGACTCTACGATCTGGTTTTGTTTATTCGTCAGCCTCAAAAGTCGGTTCTTGATATGTATCACAGGTCATTCCACCGTCCGTCATTCGCTGGAACGTCTAACAGCGTACAGTAATGTTACCATACTTTCTAAACTTCACGGAGGGCCTATTCGGAAGAGATATTTCACATGTTGGCATAGCGAGCACAGGTGCAGCCTGGAAACTGTTTCATTTCAAAGGACGAATGCCGCGGCGCCGAGGACGCACGCTCCTCGTGACGCACTCGAAAAAAACCAATGTTTGCATACTCGCTTACCTGATGAGGCAGCATTCAGTCCGTGAAGTTCGCAAAGCACACAGGACCACACAAGTGTGCCGTCAAATGTGAAAGGATATTGCCGACTAGTTCCATCACTTCCAAACTGTCGTCCCTCGCTACTGAATGCATTGGCAGCACCCGAATTTTACATTACAATTCGTCGGCAGCGATCCTGCTATGAATCGAACAGAAGTTTTAACAAGGCATACCCTTTCTGATGTTTCACATGCTTAGATAAAAGCAGACATTTTTGAAAAAAAAGTATTGACAGATAGTACCTTGGAAGCGAAGTGCATATTCCAAGTATTTAATTCGCGTATTTGGTAGAGAATTCGGCATGAAAATATCTCAAATTTGAGACTTCTGAGCTACTTGTGTCTAGAAGCCTGAGTGCTTGGATTCGCATGCCTACAAAACATGTCTATGGGCCGGCCTACAGTCTACGATCTCAATTTGAGGCGAGCGTACGGTTTAAATTAATTCTCATCATCACTGGCAAGCACGGACAGCCGAAGAGTACGGTCGGCACTAGGAGATCCATTCACATGGAACATCAGAGCATAAGTCTGAGACGCTTGAATTTACCGCAACGCGCTAAGAGTCGTGGCTTGGAAGCTTAACACCTGACAGGATAACTCAAACCTACTCAGTACTGAGAATTAGACACCAACGGTTCCTTCTGAACATGGCCCTCATAAAATTCATTGAAATGTGGTCCGCGCCGCCTGGTAGGTGTAATGGAAACACAGTCGTATGCATGGCACACGCAGATGAGCTGCCGTCTTGACAGTAAGTGGGACAAGGTGATGAGGATTGCGGTAGATGCTTCTCAAGTCTGCCTAAGTATGAATCAATTCACACACACAAGTGCATTGAGAGCCCTAGACACACTATTGGTAAAAAAGATGTACTCGCGGGGGAGTAGGTGTATTAACCTGCGCTCTCGGGCTCTTACAAGCGTCCCTCATCGGAGGCTATGTTAAAACGACAACAGAAGGACACGCAAAAAGCCATAGTTTGTGCACACGATCGACCAGTTGGCGCATTGTCGGAGACACCCTTGAAGGCTCCCTCTGTTGAAAAGACTCCCTTAGATGTCTACTGAGCTTTGTAAGAGCGTCCACAACGGTAACGGGAAGACCAGACTACAATCTTTAAACGACAGCGCTAGATATCGACGAAGAGCTGGCCGCAGGTGGTTTGCTTTAAAAACTCGGCAAAACAGACAGACAAACACAGTAGACTTATATTAATAGTGGGGAAAATGGTGACAGGTGTGTTTACAATTAATCGAAGAAAGAATACACGGAGCGAGTGCGAGAGCCCGAGGTTTCAAGGTCAGCTTGAGTTTTGTAAAGTTTCCCTCGGCGGTCTTTACCGAGACTGCAGATTCTGTGGAAGGCAGGCATCCGACGATGGAATAAGTGTTGGTTGAAGGAATCCCACCTAGGTAGAATACACCTAGAAGGCTGAAACGATCACTGGTTAGCTACGGCTAAGCAAACTCCTACTTACGGTAACAGTTCCGTCTACACGAGCCACACACAACCCGGTTTGCGCAACACCTACCATGCCCTCACGAGGGCCACCCAGATCTCACATCAGCGAGAGTGCTATGGAGGTCACTGAAAGGAAAAGCTATTGCTACCTGAATCTCAGTTCCAACAAGAATCGAGTTATCTTATCAGCTTGCGACGTTCCAAATTACGACGCTTGGCGCGTTGTGGCAGACCTAAGTGCCTCAAATTCATCTTAGTGAGAAATGTGTTGATGTGCAGTGTCAATGGATTCTCCAGCGGCCGCCCCGCTCCCATGCGCCAGATGGATGTCCGAGCCTGTCAACAAGCTGGTGTTAGAATTCCACGCATTTTTTGGCCGGCACGAAAGCCTGTTTCTTGGCATGCTACCACACCCGCCTCTTCCATGTAGGACCGTAATTATGGGCTTGCGCAGACCCTGCGCAACCCGATTAGCGCGTGGCGTGGGCCAATCTGAATACCACTTTTGTCCAACGCATCTCCAGTGCAGCCCCTAGTAGAGGCCATCCCATTCCATACAAGCAACTATCTACAAAGTTCAGACCCAGTTTATATTCCTCTCCTACGTGTCAAGTAACGGAACCTCCCACAAGCATCTGGCGAGTAATTCCTGGAACCGATCGGCGAGCGTCCATCTACCAACCTAGTGAGTTTTGAACAGACTTGCAAATATTAAGAAGGCCTAATGGCTAACAACGAGCAACCAACACACGCTGACAAACGGTGCATGACTTCACTTCTCAAAAATCACTAAAACTCACTTATTTTCGTCCTCCTTGGCCCCAAAGTTTTGGTTCAGCCGTAATGGGAGTGGTCTTCACAGCCCCTAGTGGGATAGACAAAGGTTCGGAACGCAACAACCTAGTTTCATGTACTAAATCAATTTGGTATTTCGAACATATTACTTATGTGCTTTTCAAGTTGGACAAAGTTACTAGGGACCGTAGTCTGGTTCCTACGTCTTAAGCGTTACACTGTAGTCTCTATTAACAAGCAAACATTAATGTTCGGCCATCTTCGGGTTTCGGAAATGCGAGAAGCTATTAAAAGCTTGATCGAGTATGTACGGAGCAAGCACTTTCTCGAGAACCAACTACCATCCAACTTACGTAAACAGATGTTGGTTGTCAAGGCAAAACCGTGAGATCTAGCGGCTGACGTGGGATGACGTGCGTCGGAGGTCGCCTGCGCTATTCGAGTTATGGCGAGTCATTTAAACATCCGACCATTCTCGCAGGCCGTCATTCTCAGACGTACTTAATTTTCCACCACTTTCACGAACTGGAAGGCCACAGAGGGACGGCGCAAGTTTTGGACGCCAGCCGTCGTAGACTTTGGGTCGTAAAGGTAGAAACTTCAGGCAAGCATTTAATCGAAGCACCCCCGCTGTGAAGGCTCAAATGCACACAACTTCAAGGTCAAGTGATGGCCCTGTATCCCTTACAAAAAGTACAGGTGGTATGCTATCGCTTCAAATGTGCTGGCGTATAATATTTTCAACTAATCGTAGACGGTCCTTTGGAGGAACGCTACAATTGTCTCCTACAGACTAGAGCTGTCCACGTTGAGATGGCCTCCAACCTTCCTACAGATTTCTTCCTCCAACGTCTGATGAGATTTATTGTTATGCCAGGAAAACCAATTGGCATAAACAGTGACAATGGAATCGGCTTTGTTAGAACAGGGTGAGAGCAAGAAAGTGACATACAAAAAGGGGGTCTAAAAAAGAGCGTCAGATCATCTACCGAATGCAGAGATACGGTGGCAATTTTATCCGCCGGCGCCAGCCATCGTAGTGTGTATGGGAGCGAGTGATCAGTCGGTAGGGTAAATTAGGCCTACATTGTGTAACGAGCAATGCATAATCGATGAGAGGCTCAGAACCCTATTTGTACAGGCCCAACGTATATTTAAATAAAAAACACTTGAAACAGACATTTCAAACGAAGCACTCGAGACGTCTTCGAGATAATTTAGAAAAGTCAACTGCAGGAAGGACTTGCGGCCGATGAACGTATTAAGGGAATGAGACGAGGTCAGCAGCAATGATCCTGATCTGTTTATGCCATTGCAATAGCTACGACTGGCACGGGGACATTTGACATGTACGAACTTGGTCTGACATTAATAATTCTGCCTCATTATACGCAGATTTTTGGGATGAAGATATGCGGACGACTCTGGATACAGGAAGCAGACACAGGATCGAATGACTTTTATAGTTTGTGCCAAAACCACAGCCTCCCACCGCGTTCCGCTGACGTGACACGCGAAAAGCCCATCCAATCCGCCTGCATTAGAGGGAAATGGTCAAGGTCCTTTTTAATAAACAGAAGCGCATATATAGGTGGATATGTTGCCCTTTTGAAGATGTTCAGGGTAAAGTTTCTCTCCCAGTGGGCAGGATAACCCAACGACCTGCACTAATGCTTCGCGAGGACACCCTTTGTCATGTCGAGGAATGATTCCAGATGGATAGGGCTCACGTTGAATTCCTCCCTCCTAAGGACACCTTGCGGAAGCAGCCTGCGGACAAACGACCATTTCAGTTATCTTTGAGTGAAGAATGTTCCTTCCGCATTTTTACCTTCAGAAGAAAATGAGTGGGGATTGAAGGACACGGATAAAAATAACCAAGAAGGCGAGTGCCGGTGTCAAGTTCATTAAAACAGCCCATCTTCTTGTTATAGCACATTTCAGAAGAGCGTAAAACAGCACCACGTTTGCTACAGTTACAGGTGGTTTCGACAATGCGGAACTAAGAACTGGTGAGTTTGAGATGAAAAAAAACATGGATATATTGTTTTTAGCGTAAAATCTTCGAGGGATATCTGCGGCGGTATTCATCTAAAGTGGTGAACTAATTCGGAAGCATATGACCAAGTCACACCAATCATATCCAGCCACTATTGGTTCTCCTAATGATGTCCTTCGCAGTGCGGAAACATCCTCGGACTCTCCCGTCTTTCCATCCCCAAGATGGGGGGATTTTCAAAGAATTTCTTTCCTGGTTGGACTTCCTCATCATCCAGATACAGATTTCACCGGAATATAGTGCTAAATGATTAGTCCCCGTGTGGCAGACTTTAAATGAATTTGTGCCGATTGCAAGAAAGTTCACAGCAATAACGAGGAACGGAAGCCCAGCCCACATACAATGCATAACTTTGTCCCCACTGAACCCAACTCCGTGTGCACAACCGGCTGTTTTCTGGA